ACCTAAAGAAGTTAACTACATACAAGAAAACACAGGGAATATATAACCCCAGACCAGCAAAGTCAATAGAGAGGAAACACATCCACACACCACCACCACCACCACCACCACCTCCAACAACAACAAAAAGTAATCAACAAACACTACACTGACCACTGATAATTCTCAACATTAACGGTCTCATTCCTTAATAAAAAGACACAGATAAACAGGATGGATGTGCAAACAGGATCCATCCTTTTCCTGCATCTAAGGAACACACATCTAAACTTCAATAAAGACATCTCCTCATGGTAAAAGTATGGAAAAAGATATTCTAAGTTAATAGGCCTAAGAAGCAAGCTGGTGTATTCATCTTAAGATCTAATAAAATAGACTTCAAATTGAAGCTAATCAGAAGACATGGGGAAAGACATTACACAGGCATTAATGGAAAAATCTACCAAGTTCAGTTCTCTCTCTCTCACTCTCTCTCTCTCTCTCTCTCTATANAATGTAGGACAAATGTAAGGACATAGATATTTTACAAACCCATGTTTTAAAAGAAAACACTATTAAAGCTTGAATCATATACTGATTCTCATACGAGAGTGAAAGACTTCTATACTCTACTCTCACTAATGGTTGTGTCATTCAGACAAAAACAGAGAAATGCTGTAATTAACAGACGTTATAATTCTAACGGATCTAACAGATACCTACAGAACATTTCATCTAAACACAAGACAATATACCTTCTCAGCACCCATGGAACATTCTCCAAAACTGACCACATACTGGGACACAAAGCAAATATCAACAAATACAAGAAAATTGAAATAATACCCTGAATTCTACCAGAGCACCACAGATTAAAGCTGGACGTCAAAATGGCAGAAAAACCCAGAAAGCTTACAAACTCACAGAAGCTTGAACAAATCTATTCTGAATGAAAAATGGGTCAAAAAAGAAAGAACTTAAAAGCTTTCTAGAATTCAATGAAAATGAATAAAAACATACTCGAATTATGAAGCATAATAAAGATTATTCTAAAAGGCAAGTTCTATACTAGCTGCTTGCATTTAAAAATGGAGATATTTCACATTAACAAAAGCATATCTGAAAGTTAGAACAACAAAAAAATATGCAAAAAAAGTAGATGGCAAAAAAATCACCAAATTCATGGTTGAAATCTATGAAGTTGAAATAAACAAACAAATGAAACAATGAATCAGTTCTTTAAGAAAATTGATAAATCTTATTATTTATCAAATAATAAATATTTATTATTTTATTATCTAAAATCTTATCCAAATTAACTAAGAAGCAGAGATGGAAAATCCAAATTAACAAAATTAGAAATGAAAGGGGAAACTAACAAAAAACACTAAAACAAAATCAGAGAATTATAAGGACCTATTTTAAAAACCTATACTCCCCCAAATTAGAAAATCTAAAAGAAATGAATAAATTCCTCAGTACATACCACTTATCAAAGTTAAATCAGTCACATAGTTTAAACAGACCTATAACTCCTAGTGAAATAGAAACAGTCATTAAAATCGCCCAACCAAAAAGTTCAGGGCCACATTGTTTTAGCACCGAATTACACCAGACTTTCAAAGAAGAGCTATTAGTGCCAATATTCCTCAAGTATTCCACAAAACAGAAATTACTTTTACATGATCACAGTTACCCTGATACCCAAACCATACAGAGACCCAACATAGAATTTCAAACCAAATTCCCTCATGAACATATATGCAAAAATGCTTACAAACTGAATCCACGAACATATCAAAAAGATCATTTCCCACAGTCAAGTAGGCTTCTTCCCAGGGATGTAGGGATGATTCAACATATGTAAATTTTTAAATATAATCCAATATAAATATAAACAAACTGAGAGAAGAAGTCACATGATCATTCTCGGAGAAAAGGCCTTTGACAAATTCCAACACCCCTTCATGATAAAAGTCCTGGAGAAATGAGGGATATACCTCAAGATAATAAAGGAAGTTTACAGCAAGCCCATAGCCAATATCAACTTAAATGGAGAGAGAAACTCAAAGCAATTCCATGAAAAACCAAGAACAATACAAGGCTGTCCACTCTTTCTATATCTATTCAATATAGTACTTGAACTCTTAGCTAGGACAATAAAAAGACTAATGGAAATCAAAGGGATACAAGTTGGAAAGGAATAAGTCAAGATATCTTTATTTGCAGATGTTATGATAGCATATATAAGTGACCCCAATGATCCCACTGGGAAACTCCTGCAACAGATAACCACCTTCAGGAAAGTAGCTGAATACAAAATTAAGTCATGAAAATCAGTTAGCCTTTCTATACACAAACGACAAATGATCTGAAGAAGAAATTAGGAAAACAACACCTTTCACAATAACTTCAAATAATGTAAAACATCTTGATATTCCTCAGACTGTCACCCTGGGAAGTGCTGGTTCCTGCTTCCCAGCTTTGTCAGGATAAAACAAAAGACGACAGATATCAGTGAGGAAGACTTCGCCAATTCTGTAATGGGTAGCAGAGGAGAGTGATAAAGGACCCATTTACAGCACATTTAGAGAAACTCAGATTTAGGGAAAATTGTTATAAAGGATAACAAAGTAATTGGGTAGGAATATAAGATTTTTTTCTTCTTACTAATATGCACAAAGATACTATAATAAGTGTGTAGATTCATTATTTTAATTACTTTTCATTATATTTTAATAAATGCAAGGAGAAAGGAGACCATGGAGTAAATGGGAAAATCCTGAAGTAGGAATGAATACTTAAGGCTGAAAGATGATTCAGTAGGTAAACGTGTTTGTTGCTAATGACCTAAACTTGGGCCCTACGTCGTACATGGTGGAAGGGAAGAAGTGACATTCATAGGTGTCCTCTGTCTCTACACACTCTTGCTTTGGCTGTGTGTGCATGTGAGCACAGACACATAAGGACACACATAGACACGCAGACACACATAGAACACAGACACAGACACACAGACAAACACACACACAGAGTAAGGCTGTATGTGACAAGGCCAGAATATTAGCCTTGCCAAAGGTATCAGATCAATATAATAAATAATAAATTAATAATAATAAATCATTTTTAATTAAATGTAATCTTAACTGTAAAATAAAAATCTCAGAGCCACGATGCTTCCACAGCCATTCAACATCTTACCTAACAGGTTTTTTTTTTTTAAAAAAAAAAAAAGAAAACAAACTATCTTTTTTCATACCAATCCAAGTTTCCCCTCCTTCACCTCCTCCCATTCACTCCACATACCCTGCCATCCCACCCCCATCCAGTCCTCATAGAGGGTAAGGCACATTGCTTTGAAGAAGGTCCAAGGTCCTCCCTACTATACCTAGGCTGAGCAAGGTATCCATCCAAAGAGAATAGTACAAGCAGGAGGGATAAATCCTGGTGCCACTGCCAGTGGCTCCTCAGTTTGCCCAGCCATGCAATGTCAACCACATTCAAAGGGACTAGTTTGGACCTATGCTTATTTCTTCCCAGTCCGGCTCCTGTTAAGTTGGTGAGCTCCTGTTAGCTCAGCAGTCATTCAGGCCTACTCAAGGTTCAAGGCTGGTGAGAGACTCTGTCTCAAAAACAACAACAAAACAAAACAAAGAACAACAGAAAAAAAAAAAAAACCCAAGACAGAAAAACAAAAAACGAACAAACCAGTTTTCTTTTTTTTTTTTTTTAACAAGAGAAAAATGTTTTTGGAATTAGAAAGCCCTACCACCCTCAGAAGCCACATTGCCTCAAGCAAACTCGGTACATTTTGAATCTCTGACATTTTACTTTTTAATGTGCAAATTTATTGTGAAGAATGAATGTAAAACACTTGTAAACACACAACAGCAAGGCGTGTATACATTTTTTTCCCATTTCTCTCACAGAGCATTCCCACCATGCAGCCAGTCAGGAGCAGGATGCACAGGTCACTCATGTGTTCTCCAATCTTCACTGCCTTGGTGTTCACAGGATTATTAATGATATGGGACTCTATGACACATTAACTGCTGTTCCTGAGTCTTCAGTGGGTGTTCAGCTTTTCCTTTATCTGTGGTCATTTCCACGAGAAGCATTCCTTTAAACCAGGACCAGGATTATGTCCCTAGAATGCTATGGGGAAGCCTGTGCATGGATGCTGAGACCCTGTGAAGAGGACTGTGCATGGGCGATGAGACCCTGTGGGGAGGACTGTGCATGGGTGCTGAGGCCCTGTGGGGAGGACTGTGCATGGGTGCTGAGTCCCTGTGGGGAGGACTGTGCATGGGTGCTGAGTCCCTGTGGGGAGGACTGTGCATGGGTGCTGACACCCTGGGGGGAGGACTGTGCATGGGTGCTGAGACCCTGTGGGGAGGACTCTGCATGGGTGCTGAGTCCCTGTGGGGAGGACTGTGCATAGGTAAAGAGTCCCTGTGGGGAGGATTGTGCATGGGTGCTGAGTCCCTGTGGGGAGGACTGTGCATGGGTGCTGAGTCCCTGTGGGGAGGACTATGCATGGGCGATGAGACCCTGTGGGGAGGACTATGCATAGGTGAAGAGTCCCTGTGGGGAGGACTATGCATAGGTGAAGAGTCCCTGTGGGGAGGACTGTGCATGGGCGATGAGACCCTGTGGGGAGGACTGTGCATGGGTGCTGAGACCCCATGGAGAGGACTGTGCATGGGTGCTGAGTCCCTGTGGGGAGGACTGTGCATGGACGCTGATCAGTCTGCTCCCTGAGGAGTGGGTAGAAAAGAAAGATGACATACGCATGCCAGTGACAGGATATAGGAACCACAGCTGTCTTCCAAGGCTCCTCTCATCTGTGTCCTCGAGAACTTATTAGCACAGGGTACATGTGTGTGTGCGTGTGTGCGTGCACACACGCACACACACACGAGTATAATTCTTCTGTCATCGGGTCTCTGTTGGTAGGGGACAGTTTACAACTGCAGGGCGAGGGAACAAGAAGGGCCATTAGTAGAGGTAAGCACACCTACCTGGATGAGATAGTGGGAACACAAGTTGAGAAGCTCCAACAGCTGCAGGTGACTCCCAGCTGCCAACACATCCTGGATCACGCCTGGCTCCAACAAAATCTGTAAGGTAATTAATTATAAATAAACAGAAGAATTATTTGATTTTTACATGGGCCACCAGCTTTTTCTACATGCAAAACTCAGCTTAATTCCTTCATTTTTGTAAGAAAATATGAACGTTTTCAAAGAACACAGTAGTCTCGTATCATTCATTTTGTAACATGGTAATGCAAAATGGACCAGTTCTAATTTTTCAAAGTATATTCCAGACTCTTCCGTTCATCATGGTTTAGTGAGCGGTGTTTTAGGGCATGGTACTTGCATCTCCTCTGGCTTCAGCTAGTGGGCGGGTACCGTGGGAGTGGGTGGGTACCGTGAGAGTGGGTGGGTACTGTAGGAGTGGGGTGGGTACTATATATATATATTATTCTACTTACAAGTCCTGCATAATCACAAACTTCCATATTCTTCATTTTTGTTTCTCCAGTCCTCTTTATTTAAAATGCAAGTATCATTTTCTTAAGTTAGTGAGCCTCACAAGGAAAGAGAACAACTCAGATATCTGGAGAGACCAATTGTCTACTTCTTCCTGATTAAGCCCAACTATTGGACTGCGGCTACCAGCCACTGAAAAAGGCCAGATAAAGACACACCATGGTGAGGACATTCACTCCAATGTGTGACTGAGAGCTACAAGAGACCTTTAGTGCTGTCCCAGGCACGTCTGAGCCCAGATGTTCACAATCTAGCCACCGGACATCTATGTCTCCAAGCTCACCAGCCATTAGAATGTCTACATGTGAGTACACACCTTCTCCAAGTGAGGCCATCCATCTCTTGTCTCTGGGTCAACATTCTTTCTTGATTTTCCTTTGCTTCAAAAACCATTATCATCCCCAGTCTCTGTGCTTTGGAAATGACCACAGCTTGGTCCCAAGAGCTTTCTCTCTTGTCTCTGCTCACCCTGGAATCCTGTGACTTTCAGGGCATTTATATGCTGATGGAACTCCAAAATGTTTCTGTCTCCACACCTCAGACTCTCATCTACAACTCTGGGAAATGCATGAATCACTGAGTGAATGTGTATTGTTGACATGGGTCGGGCCATATCAAAAACACCAGTGTCTCAGACCCTCGGGAGAGGCAAAGCCTTCCCCAGGTAAGGCTTGGAGAGGTGGCAAAGCCTTCCTGTGGTCCAAGGAGAACTGTTGATGAACAATTGACCAGTATGTGTCAAAACTATTAGCCACATCTTCCTCCTCCGGGATGACACCTGAGCCCACTCCCTTACAGGGATGTCTACTAGAGATAGGGTAATCCTGTCTCCTTGTTCCACTGTATAAAAAAACCTGCCTCCTCGATTCATCTTATCAACCAAATCAGTCCTCTTTACCTGGATCATCCTTTCTTAAGAGATCACCTTGGTTTTTCCCATCCACCTTTTAGTCTTCTGCCCAAACTGAGATTCTGGCCTACTGCCAAAGCTGGTACCTTCCATCATAGTGAGTACAGCCTACTGTACCCCATCTTTTCTTCACATATGTCTTCATTCCCTTGCTGCTCCAATTAGGTCAATCCCTCAAGCTGGGTAGAACCTGGTATACAACTACAACCTCAGCATGGATTTTGGGCTCTCTAGAGGGCAGCTCGAACCCCTAACATTGCCACAGACCGGACTCTTGATCTTTATCTACTGCTCACCACCCTACTTCTTTTATAATTTTGCCATCTCAGCAATATGACAGTTATTTAGAAAAACCCTGTAGTCATTATTATTCTTTGATAACTTTATACACATATATATTGTGTCCAGGTCATATTCACCACCCAGTCTTCCCCCACGAGGCTCCCCTCTCATTCTCCAGACAAGTCCCCTTCCCCCATCAAGTCATTTTCTTTAGCTCTTTTTGTTGCTTGTTTTGTGAACCTCTGAGTTGAACCCGAGCTGCCTGCACAGGCATGAGTGTTGAGCTATCAACCAAAGCACGTGAAACTCATTAGATGCTAGATCATTGAAGACTATGCCTTCCCTCCTCAGAAGTTATTAACTGCAGTAGCTCCTGGGGAGGATCTGGGACCCACAAGCTCCTCTCCTGTCTCTGAACTGAATATTGGCATTCATCCAGTCTTTTTTTTATTCATTTATTAAAGATTTCTGTCTCTTCTCCCCCACCGCCTCCCATTTCCCTCCTTCTCCCCCAATCAAGCCCCCCTCCCTCATCAGCCCAAAGAGCAATCAGGGTTCCCTGCCCTGTGGGAAGTCCAAGGACCACCCACCTCCATCCAGGTCTAGTAAGGTGAGCAACCAAACTGCCTAGGCTCCCACAAAGCCAATATGTGCAGTAGGATCAAAAACCCATTGCCATTGTTCTTGAGTTCTCAGTAGTCCTCCTTGTCCGCTATGTTCTGCTGTTGTTTTTTGTTTTGTGGGGGGTTTTTTTTGTATGTGCTCTGTGCAGGTAACCTCAGTGGCTGTGAGTTCATGGGGGCGGCATCTAGCTCTTACATTCTTTCTGCCCTTTTTCCATGATGTTTGTTGAACACGGAAGGGATGACATGGATATTCTATGAGAGCTGAGCACTCATCTTCGTGAACATTCTTATCACCTTGACCATCATGAGTCTATGCACTAATTGTGTTCCCGTTGAAGAGAATCTGCTCTGACCTCGGTGGAGGGCAACACAACTCAGAACCATCCTGTATCCTCTTATTTTTCTCCTACCTCACAGCTCACCTATGAGCCTTCCTGTTGGCCCTATCATCAGAACAACTCCAGAGGCTAAACATTCATGGCTCGCTACTTCCATTATTATCAGTCTAGCCCAATGTACTCCATTTTCTCAGATTTAACTCCTGCCTCCTGACACTGCATTCTCCTTTGCCTCTTTAAAATATTATCAGCTGAATCTCTCTGCCTGCATCGCTCCTTCCATTCTGTCCTTTAAACTTCTGCTCATTACATTTGTAGTGTAAATTTAATTGGTAAAGTGTTAGGTGTTCTTTTGAGCTCACTGAGAAGCTGGCTTTGGAAGTGGGGCTATCCCAATACCATTTCAGATCCAAGCAAGTCTGTTTCAAAGTGTCTTCCAAGGTCTTTTGTTTAGGGATGGTGGCCTCACTTTCTAACTCTGTGATAGGGAAGGAATATAACATAAAATTTCAACAGTAAGACCATTGTGTCCCTGAAAACAGGTAGAAGGTGAAGTATTTCCAATAAATATGAGTACAGCTTATTCCGTGATATAAGCATGCCTAACATGGGAAAAAGATGCTGGAAGTCTGGCCAAACCATGGGAAGCTGCTATATAAGGTGAAAGTTCAATGTGGGTACTCCAGCCGCCTGCCTCAACCCTCCTGCTGGTTTCTGCTGGATGTTCTGAGCATCCAATTAGATGATGTTATCTCTGTCCATTGTTATTTGCTCGTTCACTTTGAAGTCTTACCTAAGGGAACGCTCTGCTCTGCCGAGGATTCTCTTGATGGAAGACTCCAGAAGGGAAGAAATTTGTCCTGTTCTGCAACCACACCACATAAGAACAATGCCTAGGCACATAGCTGTCGCTCTGAACTGAGGTGGTTATTTAATTAAAAATTTGGATAACTAGCTCTTATATACATGCTTGTTTCAAAATTTATGACACAGGAAAAGAGGAAAAAGAACTGTAGCTTATATATCTGTGCCACTAAGGTAAAGATGTGGAAAAGTTAAGCACAGGGGTCAAAAATGCAAACACTCTTCTTGCTCTGGAATTTTTTTAAACAGCTCTTTTTTTTTTTTTCCTTCTGGTCAGAAGAGATATTTAAATTTCTGCAAATCCTCAAGGAAGGGGCTTTGACTGGCATGCGGAAATGAGTCCATCTCCCGCCAGAGGAGCAAGAATAGCTTCAGACTGCCTGAAGAGGCACAGCCTAAGGCGGAGAACAGGGACCAGATGGATTAGAAAGGTGAGTTTTAGCCTTGCAGCCCTGTCAGCGGCAGTCACGTCACACAACCAGCATTCGTGATAGCCTCCAAGGTGTGGTAATGCCACACACAAAGACAGATATCACAGGGAGACAAGATGGATATTCCGTAGCATGTGTAACACATCCAGTGGGTTCACTGTGAGAAACCCTCCCACCAGAAACCCATCCCGGGATTGTTTTGCCTTTGTTTTATTTATTTATTTTTTATTCTACAGGCTTGTTTCCTCCTCTCATTATAAGAGTCTCTGAAAGAAACTTTAGCACAGGAAAATCCCCAAGTCCTTTGAAAGGTTTGCAGAGAGAAACTGCCGGGACAACTGTTTATCATTTTTAGAAACCATCGGCATGTGTGAGCGTCACTGGCCAGAGTCTTTGTAGTTGACGCCCCGCTGCCATCTGGGGACTGGTGGCTCTGCTGCATTTTCCAAAGAATCTGTGCTTGGGCGGGAGTAAGCTGGGGCTTTACTCCTTGTGCTTTACAGTATATAGTGATGGAAAAATTGGCCAATAGAACTCTTTCAAACTAAGGGCCCTAAAGCACTCATGTTTATAGCAGACTACTTCCTCATTTGTTTCCCCTGTGCTGTGACCATATGTTGACCAAAACCAACTTCAGATCCTTCCGAAAAGTACAGCCAACCCTCTTGACTCTGGCATTCTAATAAACTGGATGGGGCTTGCGTTCAAGCTACAGCAAGGGAGAGAAGTTCCCTGAGGGCTGAGAGCACCTGTTAGAGGGGGAGCTAATCTGTCTGACTGGAAACATCTGTAGCATCCATCAGTCTAGAGAAATTCAGCTCAGATGAAGACATACAGATGTGCAGAAGACAAAGAGACAAAGAAAATTCAAGACACAGAAGACCAAGTGTGTGCCCTGGAATCCTGCGTCAAAGCTCTCACCAATTCGGGCTGGGACAGAGCTGAGGCTCCTCTGGATTTGTAAAAAAAAGTTGTTGTTTTTTTTCCCCCAAGACAGGGTTTCTCTGTGGCTTTGGAGCCTGTCCTGGAACTAGCTCTGTAGACCAGGCTGGTCTTGAACTCACAGAGATCCGCCTGCCTCTGCCTCCCGAGTGCTGGGATTAAAGGCGTGCTC